GTGTTCAAAAGTCGTTACATGTGTTCTAATTAACCTTCTTTTTGTCTGGCTGATGATTAGGTTTAAAACCTGTGTTGGACCAGGCTTGTTTTACATTTCAACCAGTTCTGTCCTTGGGCAATTAAAAGCTGCCAGTACAAATGTGTCAGGATAGCTGGAATTGCACTGGCTGGTGATACTGCCTACATAGAAGTGCTCACTAATGAGAATCAAACATGTTGTGCCCGTAAGGACTATGAATTTTGGGATTTTCTTCCAACAAAATTAAAAATAAGGCAATTTAAGAGTTACTCTGTTTGTTAAATAATATATAGGCAGAAAATACCTGGCAGAAAGAAGGTAACTTTTATTTCTTCAGCTTTAACTTCTAATGGATGCACAGCCCAGGCTGCATATTGTAGTTGTTTGTTGGTAGAAGGTATAGGTAGAAGGAATCCTGGCCCCACCACAGCACTGTCATGCAAGTTATGTCTACATGGTTGAGTCTGGGTGTGAGTGTGGTTGTGAATGTATGTTACGCCTTGGACTCAAATTTATGTTTCTGCATGATAGTGAGAGCACCTCTACCTTTATTGTGGTCTGCTATTCTTTACTGAGTCATCTTGGTTGTCCTGTAGTCCTGACTGACTGCATGTCGTATCTGCTCCTTCATGAGAACTGTGCAGCTGAGGTACTGGTTTGGGAGGATCTTTTGGACATGACATTAACAGGAGGAGTTATGTGGGCGGATGGTGACAGGTTTGAGTTGAACCCATGCAACCACACCACTCTGTTGCCTTGCTGTACAGAAAGTAGGTGCTTTCTGGGTGCAGAATGAGGTTATGAACTCTGTGGACTATGTGCAGGCTTGGATCAGTTCAGTTTGAAGTTTGGCTGGTTTAGGCTTGAACTAGTGTTCACCCCTAAGTTTAGAAAACTCATATAGTCAAATTGTTATCAGCTGCACTTCAGTATAGGAGTGATGGCTTGTAGTTTGTGTCATTACTTTTTCATGCTTTTATGTTTTCCATTGAAATAAAATTGTTTTGCTAGGATTTCTGTAGGTTGGAGGAAGAATACTCTTCCATTTCTGCAGTGGAATCGTAAAGCTTCTTGTAAATTAAAACTTTTGGTTATAGAGAAAATAAAATGTAGCCCTAGACAAGAGCTGGATACCAAATGCAGAAAAGGAAAAGAAAAAATAAAAAAAGTGGTATTTCAGTTCTATGCCTTGAATATGCATTAGAAGTAATTCTCTTAATTGCTTTATTTTACAAAGATAGTTACATGAGTTTGTTTTATTAGATAGTCTCCCCTTCAGATTTACAATAGAAAAGATTTGAAAAGAACATCCTCTTAGATATGTGAAATATTTTAATCTTATAATTAAGTTTTTGAATTTTGCTTTGAAGATTCTGTTTGATAAATTTGAAATATGAAATCTTTCAGTAGAGACAATTCTTCTAACTTAAATGGTAATTACTGAGTGTGGCTGAAGTATGTTGATTACTATAGATACAATTAGTTTGAGTGCAGATGTCTGAATAGAAATGCAAGTTTCTACCTGTTTCTTGCATCACAGATACTATATTTATTTCTGGGCTTTTTTTTTTTTTTTTGATACTGGAGGTGACTGTGAATACCCTTCATGGCAAGTAGTTTGATCTGTGTAAAAAAATACTTTCCCTGTAGTAACATGTGGAAACAGTTTGATGGAATAAAATGAGAAGAAATTAATCATAGTTATTCTGAGCTTCTTTTGCTGGTTCATAGCCAGACTTAATTTAGACTGAAATCCTTATGAGATGGTAGTGTTTTGAAACACAGAAATTGTCTTTCACCCAACAAAAAACATTTCAGGACATATTTGTAAACAGTTAGATACCTGCCTTGTCTAAGTTAACATCGATTGTTATTGTTTCATAGCTGAACAGTTTCCTAATGCAATCCTTGTCTTCATGGAAAAGCAGGATAAATTTGTCTGTTTACCAAATTTGCTTCTATAAAACTGACTTTAATAGAGTTCCAAGATGGATGTATTTGTCCTACTAAGTGTGACTAGCCCCACAGTCTCTAGCATACAGTTTCAAAGGAGTCAGCTGCTTTGACATGCTGAAATGCATTTCTAATGTACTTCTATTTTCAGTGTATACATGCAAGGCAAGTTTATTTTTTCTAAAGCAGGGTGGTTAAATTATTTGTGAGTCTTTCTTCAGTACTATTTTGCTTGTCAGGCTTGAAAACAGCTCTGATTAAAGAATGAAAATAAATAAATATGAATATTGAGAAAACATGTGAAAGTATAAGAATAGGAGCATGCTTGTAAAGTTAGAACTCCCAGGCATGCTTTTATGTGTTTGACATCAGGCCTATTCCTAAGCAATTTGAAAACACTGAATCTTTAGGATGATTAAAATGAAGTTAACAAATAACTTATGATTAAAATAAAGTCAAAGTTATATAATACGCTTAATGCTACTAAACAGTTGAGAAGATAGAAGGCATAGGGAAAATGAATTTCAGGGAAGATAGAGGCTATGAATGGAGAACAAAAGTATTGTTGCAATAATTAAAAAGTAGAAGGGAGTCATGCTAGAGGGGTGGAAGACTTTGCTCATTTAGGACTAAACTCAGTAAAGTTCTAGGCTGTGTTTCCCACTGACTTGAAGTTCAGGGTTTCAGACTGGCCATGTAAGTGGACTTTGTGGATCTGCATTAGTTCTTGGGGCCTACTGGGGACAAGGGTGTGCCAAAGACACAGCATACTTTTATTTTAGTACACCAGCGTGCAGGATCTGTGGTTGTCTGAGCTTGTTACCACACTGTTCTAAAACAAAGGGAATTGTAGCTGTGGTATTTTTTTGTCAGGCTTTTGTGCCACTGCAATTTTTTTTTCCTTCCTAGTCCATATCATTCAACTTATTGAGCTTTGCAGCTACATTGCATTGTTCTGTTTCAACTCTTACTGCCCAGAATGACCAGTGATGCAGTTCTGTTGTTTTCATGGTCTTTTGGAGCTTCTGGCTCTTTGATAACTTGTTCTTGGTATGTTGTGTTGTAGGTGGAGAGTGTTGGTGAATATTGCACTGTGTTGTGGGTGTTTGTACACTGGATAATTTCTTCCTTATGTAAGTTCCACCTCCCTCCCTAATCCTTAATGGAAATTGTAATGTAATTTTTTATTAATATTCAGTAAAATGAAGCTATACTGCATTGTGTTAGCCAAGTTGCTATGTCATGAGTTGGCTTCTGTGGTGTAAAGATTCATACTTCATTTTCTAATAAAAGGTGTCATCAGTAGTGTTTGGATTTTACTTTCCTTGAACTGACTGTGTTGTCTCCTCTTAAAGCACATCCTGGCAATTGATTCACTGAATACATGCATCTAAACAATTTTTTGCCAGAGTACAAGTATGATAAACAGAACAGTACACTGTTACTGGCTAGTGAGAAGGTGGGTTAGTATTGCCTTGGATCCATTGAAAATACTGCTGATATCCTGTTATGCTGACCTGCATGATGCACTTCATTCCCTACCTTCATTTCAGTCACCATTGAATCTTTAAATCTTGAATGCATGTTGTAGTCTAGGCAGTTATGCAAAAAAACCTGAATATAAAACTGTGAACCTGTTTGTAAATTTTGTTATTTTTTTTTCTGTTTAAAATGGGTCATGCGAGACACCTGTTGTTTCTAAAAGCATCTGGAGGCCAGTTCAGTTTTCAGCAGATGGGTGGATGGGTGAATGAGTTTGCTTCAGAATGATACCAGTCTCTTGTAACTTCCGCTAAGGATGAAGGAATTCTGCATTCTTAGGACATTTTACGATTCTTTTGAGGAAGTGATAGATTAAAAGGCTGTTTTGTTCTTCCAATATTTTGTTTGCAAAAGAAAACTTAACAGTTATCAGTATTTGCTTCAATGTCTGTTATGCTACGAAGGAATATTTTAAGAGCTTTCCCGCTGACATTTTGATACTTTAACTGATTTATTTAAAAAAATATACAGAAATGGGGGAAAGAAGTGTATGCATTTCCTGGACGTGCCAGGTTCACCAAAACTAGTGCTTGACTGTCTTTGAAGTGGAGTGGCTTGAAGGCTGTAAAGTGGACATTTAAAGAAATCCATTGTAACTATCCATAAACTATCCACTTCACATTCAGGAAGGATGTATGATGCGTTTCATGTATGATTTGAAAGCAGAGCTACTTGAGATCTGGGTCAAAATGATTAGAAATTGGAAGACCAGTACTCTTGAGTAGGGAAATGTCAGTATAAGCCCCAGGCACTTGCTTTAGACTCACAGCATTTGTATTTTGTGATACACTCATTCAAAATACAAAAAAGATTTTAAAAACTATAGTGACATTAACAAGTACTTATAATTTTAAACAAGGACAGATTTTCTTTGTTTTATTCTTTTTGTAAGTTCATGTCTGAATCTCTTGCCTGGAGAGCCAGGCCAAATACCTCTGCATTCTTGGCATAAATAGCAAGTCAAAGCTTCTCAAATTAGAACAAACAAAATTCAAATTCCTGAGACTTAGCATATACTCTCTTTACTAATATGGAAATAGTTATTTGTTACTGATTTATTACCACCAAAAACAACATGGAAAATCCTTGTAACTGGATAGATGGGGACTAGCTGGATGATTGTGTTCTTCATTTACACCCCACAATCATCAGGGACAAAAGTCCCTTTAGCTACAATAGTGCCTTATTGTATTATTGTCCCTACTGTGTCTTAATGCTTAAGTTTCTGAACTAAAAAATGTAGTCTGTATCGCTGTATTAAGTACCTAAATTCCCTGTTCAGTTCATTGCAAGGCTGCCAGGAGTAGAATTCAGAAAAGGCTTTATGCTTTTCTGAGTAGGGAGGAGGAGGCATGTGCTAACTGGAAGGAAATACCACAGAATGAGCCATATATCTTAAACTGTGCCCCTCTTTGGCCTGTGTGTAAGAGCAAACCTCACAGCTCAATTCTTCTGGTTTTGCATGCCAAATATTGTGCTACACCATGAATGAAGATACCCATGAGCCAGTTTTGGAAGTAGAAGTGTGTGGTGAGGGCTGTGTAAGCCAGCGTGGGTTTGGCAGCTGTGTTGGCATATGCCAGCTAGAGAATGTCGCTGGCAGCACTGCAGGTTTCCTCTGTTAGGGACTTAGCTCTCTTGTGCCATGTGAAAACAGTGCAGGGCATACATGGGCCAGTATTTTCCTTTGCTTGATCCCAATTTCACCCACTCTGAAAGCAGCTTGAGGAACTAATGTAGTTCTTATGTCACTGAGGTGGTAAATGTGCTGTGTTGGGTCACATCATCGGGTTGAGGGAGCCCATGTGTGTGTACTGTGATGGAGAAAGGTCCTGCAGAAATGTGATCCGGTACTGGGCGAAATAAACAGCCAATTTCTGTATCCTGTTGCAGGATTTTAAGGTTTTGGATCTGTGCTGCACCGTAGCAAGTTACTCTGTAGCTCATGGATTCGGGGCTTTTGGACCCCAGCTGCTCCTCATATGAAGGATTTCTGTGCAGTAGAAACTTCTTGGCTTCACTAAGTACTAGAGCCCTGCATTCTGCTTTTAGTCATGGACTGAGTTGTCCTTTTTTTGGAATAAAATCTGAGGTTTTATTTTGAAATCAAATTACTTCTAATTATCCTGTTACTGCATACATAGAGGTGCTCTCCCTCACACAACCAGAAGTCAGACATGAATCTTGTTCTTTGTATTAAATTTCATGTTTTCAGTCAGTGTCAGGTGTAGTTTGAGTGGACCTGCTGCAGAAGAAATCTTACTGTGCCCAACTTGTGATTTCTCATTGAAGTGGAGGGAAAATAGGTGAGAAACTCTCAGCCTGCCATGCTGGACTGAGTTCTGATGCAATGTAAAGCAAAACTGTAGTTGTTTGGAAAATGCATTTGTTAAATTTTAAGTACTGTAAAGCTTTCAATTGCTTGAAAAGTTAATTGGGGGTTTAAAAAAAAAGGTTGCATTTGTATTTAGTAGAAATTGGTTCTTTCTGAATCTTTTGGAAAGGCAAGGCCTCAGCAGAGCAGGAGATGTGGTTTAGTATTGTCACAAAGATACCACTACAGACATTCATAAATTTTTATTGTGCAGTAAACCAGATGGCAAGAAAACAATGTGTTTCAGAGTTCTTTTTAGAATATAATTTTGAGTATTCAATTTTCTTTAGAATTGTAGCTTGGTTTTTTTGTTCCTCAGAGTGCATGTTTCACTTGTGAGATTTGGTTACGCAAGTCACATTGTATTCTTCCAGCCTGTTTTATGCTTAAAAAGTAAGTGACACGATTGTTAAAAGCTGTAATAATATATTGGATCAGCCTAAGAAATCCTCTTCTGCTAACTGGTTTTCTGGAATGGTAACTGTTTCAGAAAAAAATTCAAACAGCTAATTACCAAAAAGCTGTGGCTGGCATGCTGCTCTCTCTCCTTTCTCATGACCTTTTAATTTTATAATTTTAGTGTGTGTGTGACCAATTAAAATATGATGGCAGAGCAAAATAACATAGCCCAAATGCCCAGCAGCTGGGATACAGAGGTAATAATCCATGTCCTTGAATCATAGGAAATAGAGAGGGGACAAGTTGCAGATTAATTCAGTCTCTCTACTTCTGCTATGCACAGCTTTTGCTCTAAGTACATCTGTTAAATTTGCACCTCGTTTAATACACTGATGTATTAATAAAATGACAGTGGTGTTTAGTTTTCTCAGTTTGTCTTTTCTATTACAGAAGTAAAATTGATCCTGCCTAGGACAGGAAGATGGACTAGATGATCTCTCAAGATCCTTTACAGACAGTTCTGTGATTTTGTAGTTTTTACTGATCTTTCTGTACCGTGTTTTGTCTTTGGATGATAGTGTTGTGCTCCATGTAGTGTTTTATATAGATATCTCTTCTCGTGTGTTAGAAAGAAAAAGTACTTTTCAGATTTTGAGAAAGTAGTTCAGATATTTCTCTTGTCACATGAATCTTTTGAATCTTTTATCTGTTCTCCCTGTTCTGGTAGCTCATGAATATCAGAAGTCTTTGGGCATGAGAAATTGGTTCACATCTCTGTTCTCATTCTGTAAAAGAATGAACTAAGAAGCAGTAATTTAAAGCCCATAAAGTGCTCAACACGCTGACTGCATTTCTCTTTGGTTTATTGTTTAGTAGTGTGAAAGAGGGAGCAGAGGCAATTAGTTCTTTCTCTTCTGAGAGCACAAAAACTTGGGCTCACTTTTGGTGTCTAGTTCTGCCATTGTATGCTTATCTGAGGTCAGAAATCTTCTAAGAATGGACAGAACTCATGTATGAGGGCAGGATTTGCCAACAGACATAAACAAAATCAATAATAGCAGTGCTCTTATTTTACGTGATAAGGGATCTATTTTTTTTTCTGTGCCAAAATTCACTAAACCTCAGAAAATCATCTGTGGCTGCAGAGAAAAATATCAGAAGTGGGAGTGGTTTTCTAGGTGTACTGATTTAAGATGTTGGATAATTCCAAATGTTCTGGAACAGCATCAATTGTTCTTTTTATTATTCTTAAAATATTGATACAAAGCAGTATAGTGTGAAGATGCCTTTCTCAGTGGTTAGCATTACTAGTGAACATGCTTTTTGCCTTGTGGCTTGATAAGCCATGTTCTGCCATTGTACTCTTTTCTTCATTATTGTACGGACAACTCTCACCTCAATTGCCTTAAGCTGGTTCCAAAGTTCATGTGAGCATTTGATAAATGACTGATGAATTGTGGGTAACTTTCAGGTATCAAAATGCCTAAAGCCAGCTGGGAGAGTTCTGTTTCAGAGGTGCCATAGATCTTTAATACTATACATTGATGAAAAGATCAAAGGTATGTGTCTCAGACCTAAGCAAAACTAAAACTGAAATACAAGCATTTAAATATCTGCTCTGGAGCACAGTGCTACTGAATATTGAATGCTTTCAGATGTATATTCTCTGTTCCCCATGATTTCACTGCTTAGTGTGGTTGCTCAGTATTTCACAGAGTGAATTCAACACAGAGGAAGAAGCTTGATTTTCTGAAACTTTTCATGTTGCTTATTTCTGAGCAGTTTAGCCAAACTGTAATCTATGAAAGCAGTAGGTGGTGTGGATTGTCAAGACCTCTCAGGTATATCTGAATAGGCCTAGAGCTGTCCTCACACAAACCACCTACTATGTATGCTGAAGTCTGAAAAAAGAGCATCTCAGATCTGTACATGTATTTGCAGTATGTTTTTATGAAGCACTTAAGATATTATTTTTTTTAGGTAAGTTTTCCCTCACTGTGTACCTATTCAGTCTTCTCTGGCTCTGTTATGTTCATACAGACTAAGTAGTATGACATAGGCATTATGAGATCTAGAAAAGATTCTTATTTAAGAAGATACATTTTAAAGCACTTTTTTCTGACTACAGCTATCTGATATATATAATTATTAATAATATTCATGTCTCTCTGTTTTATTCCACAGGCAGCAGGAGCAATTCGTCCTCTAGTTTCCACTGTTATTGCCTCTGCTGCAGATGGCTGTTTAGACCACTCGTTGGAACGTGCCAGGTACCGAGCGAGTGAAATGCCTCAGGCTTTCTTGTTTGATATCATCTACGAAGCATACCAACAGGTAAGACTTTTTTTTCCCATGTATTTTAGTTTTAAAAAAGAAATAAATTTAATTTTCTACTTTCAAAGATAGATATTCAGCATCTCTTTCAGATTATATCAAACTGTATGCGTATTCCTTCTCAGTCTTTTGAAAATGCCTTATCATTGTCACCTATTCGAGTGTTTTAACTATTAAACTGCCAAATACAAGAGGGGGTGATGGGTCTAAACTGTTGGAAAGACAGACTAGCTTTAATTTGTATTGTGCATTAAATGCATTACTTAAATGAGTGGGTTAATGTGTTTAAAGTTAGGTATGTATTAACTATATGTTGTTGACTGAGAGTATCAAAGAGTTCAGGATGCACAGTGTAATAATGACATACAATAATGGCATACAGGCTGTTCTAAAATATTGGGATATTAACTTGATACATCTAGGTAAATGTTTAATTTGTTTCTTGTTGCATGTGTGTATTGATTAGTAGCTGAAAATAATGTTTACTTATTCTCTGTTGTAATTCTCCATTTTATTCCCAATATATTGCTTTAACACCAACTCTGTTTAAGAAAATAAAAACTGTGAGTGGTGTATTAATCCCTGACTCTTTTGCCTCCATCCTTCCTGAAGACTGCTTTCGTTTGCCCCACCCTGCATTCACAGTTTACTGGAAACACTCCAGCCTTTCGTCTTAGCATTGTACTTCCTTTTCATTCATCACCTTGTGGAAATTGCCTGTCCTCCAGGTATCTTCCAGACTGGCTGGAAGCAGAGCATTTCTTCATTTGTCACTTGGAAGGAATTATTTTTCACAGTAATGCTGACAGTCTTTCTTCCCATCAGTCTTTCATTTCCAGAGTAAATAAACCCAAATTTCTGATACTTTCAGAGGGTACAAAGCCTAGAAGTCACCAACAGAATAAATGCAAGGACAGGCAATGAAAAAGAAGCTATTGCTTTATTGTTCAGTATTTGTTTTACTTTAAAATGTTGGCACAAATTCCATGTCAAACCCTTTATGCTTGATACTTGAAGCTATTAGAAATATGCTGAAGATGAAGGACTGTCCAAAATGAAGAGCTACTCAAGTGATCGGAGTGGCTCCAACCTTTTTACTTATGATAGGGAAGCAGGGGGATGTTCTTGGTGTATATCATGGCACACAGATGATACTTCTGAAACTCTCTTTTGAATGTAGTGGATATAGTCATCGTAAAGGCAGCCTATATATGCATAGAACACATCTCAAGAGACAACAGATACTGTTGGTTATACAGCTCTTTCCTTCTTGTTGATATGTATCTCTTTTGATGAATTGCATGTTTATGTGTTGTTTCTCAAAACACCTCCCAACAGCCTCCTGTTTTTTTTCTGCTGTGTTTGCTCATAGTTTGCAGATACAGTAGAGCTGGCAAATACATGAAAACCTCTTGCCCTCAATGCCTCACTCAAAAGACAGCTATATTTGCAGTCCCTGTGCTCCTCTGAATAGTGTTCTTTTCTCACATATGCATTCCATCAGTCTTCTTTTTTGTATCCCTGCTCTTTCAAGTACAAGCCACCAAAGTTGTTAGAAGCAACCAAGGCTATGGTTCCTTGTCCCCAGTTCCCTTTGCATTGGCCAAATTCTGGTCATTTAAATGCTCTGTGCCTTGGAGGCCTGGGAAGTATAACACTTCACTGAAACCTCTCAACTGATATTGTTTCCTAAGTATTTATGTTTCAATGGTGTCTAGCTGTCCAAGTCAAGGATTAAGAACCTATTGTTCTGGGAACTGTAGAAACTAATAAAAGAAGATTGATAATCGTTGTCCTGAAAAACTTAGTCAAGCTACTGTAGGACAGATATTTGCAGGAATTGGTGCAGCTTATGGTGCTTCCTAAATACTAACATAGCCACAATTAGTTCCCACAACAACCTGGTGAACTAGGTAAGTATCATTGTACAGATGGACCAAAACAATGAGAAAGTAATTGTTACTCATGTTGCAAGTGATTCACAAAGCTGGGAATGGAATGCATTTTGGCTGACTTGGCATGGGATCGTGATCCCACTCCTGTGTATTTTATACAGTTGTGACCTTTATGCAACAACTGTGTGGGGAAAAACAGCAGTCAAACATACATTCCTTAGAAAGCAACTGTCCATTTGAATTATTGCTTCAAATAAAATACGCTTTTCAGTTACATTTGGGTGATGTGGAATACTGCCCTTAAACTCACTCTATTTAAATGCATTGTCTGATGTAAGTAGGTAGCTTTAGAGAGTTTGCTTCCAGATGTGTTCTTTTGCATGAATGTCAGGGCTCTCAGTATTTTGACCACAAAGCTGCAACATGCAATTAAAGGTCAGTTCTCTGATCCTTACAGGTTTGCCATCTACAGTCTTTTTTGTCTCTTCTTGTCTGGTACCCATCTGGGCAGAGCAGACTAGTGCTCCTTCTCCTTTAATTCCTGTTTTAAATTTATTTAGCACTAGAAAGGAATAAGTTATTAACACTATTAATATATGAAAAGTACTTTTGTACGATCTTTATCAAATTAAATAATTTCCTTAGAAAACATTTTCCATTTTTTGCTGAAATAAAAAATTATAATGATTTGGGGCAAAAAACATGCCCCATTGAAGCTATTTCAATTAATTTTGCGTGCTAATACAAATATTTGTTTACAGTATTATCTTAAACTATATGTATACCACAGTGAATCCCCTTAATGTTTATTGCCAAAAATCCAGCAGAGATTTTGAGGACGTTGAGTGAAGTTGTTTGCCTGCATTTCATTTTGTGTTCTGGATCTCAGTTTAGTTTTCACTCATACATCTTCTCAGTTGCCCACAACATAAATATTCCAAACAGATCTTTGCCCTGATATATGTTGTTTTCTGCTTTAACTGTGATGATGTCAAGATTTCTGACATCATAACTATTAACTTCTCAGCTTTATAGTACTGCTGTTGAAACCTTTTGAAGTTTGTTGCTTAAAAACTGCATGTTCTCTGTTGTCTTTGTAATGGCTTTGAGAGGTCATTAAGACAAACATTCTTCATTACTTGTTTGTGAGGTACTGGATACTGTTAGGTCTTTTGATGGCTAATTTGTGACTTCTCAGTTCCCGCACAATGTAATGAACCACAATAAATATTATTAGAGGACAACTTAAAATTTTTAAAAACAAAAATGCAAATCTCTAATAAGTAGTAAAACCTGTGGAAAAGTTGTAAAAAATGGCAGAACCCATGATTTACTTCAGTTTTAATGTACCTGGGACAAAACCAGCCAGTTGGATTTTTTTGTCTTTATTTTGTTATGTTCATAATAATTAAATTCCTGATCTTTGGAAATACATGTTTCTTTTCTATTCTTATCAGCCCTAAGGGAAATCAGTAAAGTGTAAGTGTTAATTGAAAATTATCCCTTTCCAAAGATAGCAAATAAGAAGTAAATTCCTTAGACCAGACTTGTTCATTTTTGCTTAAGGTAGTTTCATGTTTCTGTTCAGCTTTTTAATTTAAAGAGGAGCAAATACAAAGTATGATCCTGCAGGCCTGGGAAGAGGTGTGTGGGGGTAAGACTTCACTTACCAAAAGTCAAGTGTTCCCTGGAGCAGTGTCTTTTTAAGGAATTAGAGTATCAGGAAGTCAGATAGACTGCCATCTTTCCTTTAATCAGAGTAGGCTGAGAGTGATTTCTGTAATACTTGTTTCTGGCATACTGTGAAATGCACATAGATCGCAGAGATCTTTTGTCTTTAACGTAAAGCATCTTGCTGTGTTGTGTCACATTGCCTTACAAAGTAACACAACCACAATATATAAAGGTTGAAATGCCCAAACTTAAGGCATTGTGCATTTGAAATGTGTCTGCTAAAGCAAGGGAGATAGTGGGCACGTTTAAAAAGTTTACTTCTCATGATCTGGCAGAGAAACAGCTGAAAATGGAAGCAGAAGAGGAGTGACTTGGGGGGGCGATGTGTGTGTATGTATTGCATATATAGTTAGTTAAATCATCTGTTGATAGACCTTTTGCAGATTATGGAAGTTTATATTTAGCTAATCAGAACAATGAAGCTGAAGCAAAAAAATTAAGTGTTAAAAAATAGGAACAGGAAGCAGGAACACTCATTGAAGGAGAATGAGCGTCAATGTGTTTAGAGATGTTTCTCTGATGCATGTCTATAACCTCCTTACAGATATCCAACCAGACCAGACTGATTTTAGGGATTCCTTCTAATCTGCATAGGAACTATGTAGAGATTAGTACTTTTGGGGACTACACTGAATTAGTATATCTGTTGATAGCCAACACTGACCACTTTTTTAATAATAAGCAATCACATTTACTTATGGGATGTTCCAGCATCTGCCTATGTAGGAGAGAGCTGCTATATATAAACACAGTAATGACAAGATACAAAACAATAGTGTGTTAGAGGGAATCATGCAAATACTTTGATGCTAAATTCTGGGAGGCAGATGTTTTTCCAGTCCCCCCAAAAAATCATTACAAGATGTCTGCAGATGGGGTTGAAATGGGGAGAAGAGATATTCTGCAAACTGTCCAACCTGGTCATTAGTAGAAGAAAAGGAAATCCCAAAATTGTTCTCCTCTAACAAACCCCTGCAAATGTTCAGGGAAGATTTTGCCAGAGTAAGAAGGGAAGTTGGCTATTGTTAGGCCTATTGTAGAAGTATTAGCTCAAAGTATTGTCTTTTCTGTATGTAAATAATAGGGAATGTATTCCATGTGGATTTCGTAAACTTCTAAAGTGCTTTTTGAAAGGGCACCACATTACTGGGATTCTTCTTCAAACATGTGTGAAGCATTTTAGTATCCTCTGTAGCTGGGAAGTGGAGTCAGCTGTAGCAGTTTAGTGATATTTTGGCATAGGTCAAGCAAGTCCTTCGAGGCAAAATGTCTAGACTGATTTGGGGATTTTCCTGTGGCTTCGTTCCTTGTTAAAGAAATCAATGTCTGTCAAAGTATTATTGCCAGGAGCAACAGGCGATGAGATGAACA